CCCGCCTTATCTCTAGATGAAAGCTGACACGTTGAGTGCTTGTCTACCGGGATTGGGATCTTGAAAGCACTGTGTGCTGTTCTACCTCTTAACAACAGGAGCGAAGCGATTCCAGCCGCTGATACTGCTTGGAATGTGACACCATTCGCATTACAATAGTGTAAAATACAATTCAGGACGAAGGTCTTCCCCGTTCCACCGGGTCCGTCCAGGAAAGCAAGATACGGTGTGCGGCCATTGAGTGATTCAAGTATAGGCCCAATAACTGCCCTTTGCTCCAGTGTAAGAAGTTGATGCATAGCCTCGAATTTACGACTGCTTTCGTCCGGACTTGCTGTACTAATACGATCAGTCCTCGCTTCGTCCGCCAGTTTCAATTCAAATAACAGCTTTTCATCGACTGCTTCCAAACCAACCGCAGTCAGGCTCAATTCCATTGAAGTCAGACATCTTTCGAGCAGGTGAAGGCCATAGTTCTGAATCTGTTCCACTGTTGGCTGTATGTGAGGATTTAAGCGCTTGATTTGATACTCACAGTCATTGCACAGATTATCAACATGGTCAGACCAGAGTAAGCTGGGGTTCGCAGGCGAACTATGGCAGAGAATAATTGCCAACATGTGTCTCAATTGATTTCCAGTTTTCCAAACTGCGGCTTCTATGAGACTAAGGTGGTAATGACAGTCTGAGAGCAGCAGTCCACGCTTATCGGCCGCTTCACAAAATGTGCTGTAAGTTACTCCATCAACTGTACGCAAAGCTTCAAACGATGTAGGCCCGGGTACGTGGCACAGCAGTAGCCTTAGGTAATAAACATCCCCTCGTTTCATGTTCGCGAAGTATACCCTGCCTAAAGCAAATGATTTGTTTGCTCTTGGAGTTAACCTCTTGGTCTTTTGGTTCCAAGCAAAGTAATTCGGCGCTTGTTGGTATTTCAAAGTGCGGATCGTCTTATCTGATCTTGGTAATTTCGTATTCTCTTGACACAGCCTGAAGAATTTGGTCAAGGTGGTCATCTCAGCTCTTCCAGTATCTAGCTGCCTGCGCAAGCCGTGTTTGTCGTAGAAGTAAACTATCTGGTCTCCCTCTAGATGCAGAGCTAGGCGCTGAACCGGTGGGTATCGGCCCACAATTGGATACCTAAGAAGTCTCCAAATCGCTATAGTAATCCATCAGATAAGGCAACTGCAAGCATGCTGGAATAAACTTACCTTCAGGAGCGCTAAGGAACCGGGCATTGACAAAAGCGAGAATCTCGTCCCGAGCCGCATCATCCTCTAGGTTCGCCATTGTCCGATCATGGCCCTTCAAAATATACTTGAACAGATATTTGATCGCACGTATGCTCACAGCGACTTCGACATTTATATGACAATCAAACTTGAGCAATAAGAAACGATTGTAAGGAACTACGCTACTATTCTCGTATTTAACTCCGCCCTTGAGGAAGTAGCGTCCATTATCAGGTCTTTTATAAGTTGGATATGAGTCCTCCGGCATCGTAGTTTCCTCGGTGAACGCGCGAGGATACCCACGAGTACATTTTGACCCATCCCAGCATTTGTACTTCTTGCAAGGACCGTGCAATATGTGTTGCGTGACTAATTCAAAGAGCGTAGGGTCAACTTCTGGATCTGGTAATTGAGCTGAAATCAAGCAGTCGATGTCTTTCACAGTTTTGGGCCTCGAAGCTGAGTCAAGAAACAATATTAAATGGCAGTGCGGTAATCCTCTTTTTTGAAATTCAATCGTATACACATAAGCAACACAAACCCCTAAGCGCTCTCGCTTTGTAAGGTCATCAAGCAATTCATTCAGTTTGAGATAAAACACTCGAGCAACTAAATCAGGCCTATTGTCCGCCGTTTGTCCTTCTCCAAGTTCTCTCGTGATCTCATCCCAATTAGAATTAGCAGCCATTGTTATGAATAAACTGGGATTGCCGTATTCAGCAACTAAGCTCATTGAATCCTGATACAGCTGTTGCAGATGCCTTGGACCTCCTCTGAAACTTGATGGTAATACAATCCTTTGTCCGACCGTCCCGTCCTCAACTTCATTCCCTAATGCCTCTATTGCTCCACTGTACATCTCGGCTCTAATCTCTTTCTGGTGATATCTTAGAAATTGCAATCGGGATCGCTCAACACATATGTACATATCAACCGCGAATTCTTGGAAAAGCCGACCTGAAGCTAATATCACGGACCACTCTGGGCGTCGGAATAATAAATAAGCAAACCAATCGAGATTGGAAACTTCCCCTTCAGGATCTGTTCAGCAGTCATACCGTTAGTGCTCAATTTAAAAACGTCAGTCAATGAATTCCAAGAAGTAGAATATGCACTCGACGGAGTCAGGTTGCGGTAAGAATCATGCCACATCTGCGAACCATACAGGAATAATAAAGGATATTGCAAAGCAAAGTATCCAGTGTGAAGCTCAGATATCCGCTTCCTGCCACCTGACTGTCGCATGAGAACAATGTCTCTTCCTCTCTCTCTGACCGTTCCGTCTCCATTGATAATAGCCGCAACATTGCTCGCTGCAGGCAAGTTATAACGGCGATGGTCGGATCCAGGCGCCAGCATAGTTTTGATTCTAAGCGTCTTGATTGTCTCCTCGTTGCAAATTTCGTGGGCAGATTTAAAGACCATTGCGTATGGATTATGAAGATACATGAAGTCTTGGAAAGCACGCAGTATATCAAGATCAAGAGTCACGCCAGATGGCCGAGCTCTAAGACGAACTTCTTCCTCGCCTCCACCACCTTAAGTGAAGATTTGACCGAACCCTGGATCGCCTCCCGGCAAGGTCATCAGTGAGGGAATGTTGTGGGACAGTTGGCCAGTTACTCTGAAGACATAATGTCCTTCTTGCCCCACGACATCAGGGTCAAGCGAGAGGCCGAGCGAGGTAAAAGACAAAGCATTATTGTACTTTTGAATTTTGGTACAAAACAGTATTGATCCTATCAGATCCCAAGAGGTAAGCCACCGATTGATCTTGGACAGTTTCATGAGACTCACGGGCATCGTTACCAGTTAATAGTTCCTTGAAAAAATCGGGAGTCTCCTGGTGTTCGTGGTGTGGGAAATATTTTATCGGTAGATCAACGTCACCATGTCAACAACAATTGCCAAACAAAGCGCGCGATAAGCGCGAATCTTTTTGGGTCCTTTCAGCCTTCCACCTAAACGCGCCACAGCCAACGCATAGATCCCTTTGGACACCAAGATCAAACGGCATCTCAAGACGAAACCGATCTAGTAAGGTGGCCTCAGAACCCAGCGCTTCGGTACGAATCGCCAAGCCCTTTGCTTTTCTCCTAGGTGGCATGTTCAACTTGCAAACTCGAGAGGTGTGCGGATCAAAGCGTGCTGTCTATACCATTAAAGTGTTTATTGGAGCTTAAAGAAATAATGTTTCTTGGATTCTCAAAATGTGCTGTTGAGGCGTCAATGTTGATACAACGGGTGATGCTTGGATGCAGAGATTGAGTCACATCCGCTCCTGACCATAGTCCCAGGACCCAGGCCTGCCACTGCGGCCTTGAGAGCACTGTTGATCGATTGATATACCCGAAGCGACGGTCAATGAGACCTTGATCTTGATGATAATTCAGGTCGCCATGTGCCGGTTGGAAGCGAGCCCGGTCTTGTAAATATCCTGGGCAATCAAATCTCTGGGACAAACTGAGAATCTATGAGCCATCAAGTTTCGGAACCTAGATTCAGACGGGTCGCACTCAGTTCCTCACCGCGAAGGCACAAATTGATATTGAAGCCATGCACTACACTGTAGAGACGTACCCCCCATGTGAAATATAACTTTGCCATCATGTATCACATCAATGATACACAACGCGCACTGCAGATACCAAGACCCTATATATTAATTCTGCTAGTGATCTGGTAGTGAGGCGAATGCGCTTGCTGGGCTCATTGTCAATTGTTTCGATCATCCACCTTCGTTCCCACGATATCAGCTTGAAGTTTCCGTCTATTGAAATCTGCGCCAATATTTTCAACTCGGCCACGACGGGTGGTATGCCCCAGGAACCCAAATCGGGTGTTTAAAATTCCAATCTACACACACGGACAGAGTCAAATGCGTCATCCGCTCTGCCAGCATAGTACTTGATAACATCGCCTACGAAATTCCTTGCCTCTCAATAGCCGAATAGTTGCGTGTCAATCCAAAAGATTTGATCTACGAAGATATTTGAGAACCTTGACTCAAATCGCACATGGATTAAAGAGAGGACGTAGCATAAAGGGGCAAGGCCTGTTGGCCAAACCTACAGTCGGGATAAGATTCTGCATTTGCCTTCTCGCCCATTTCTCAATCATCCAAGTCTACCATCCGTCGCATCTAATACCAATAACTTGTGTCTTAAAACCCAATAAATTGCCTTATCAGACATTGTCGAGCAAAAAGGATTCTAAATGTCCATATTTGGGAAGTCAATGGTGGTTAAGCACACCTCGAACAGTTGTTTAGTCGAAGGTCATGGCATCGTGACGTGGACGACTCTCTCTTGGGTTGATCATCGCGTTCAATTGGAAGTCCTTGCTCAACTGGTGGCAGATTTTGTCATGCGTAAGTTTCCAAGAATTGTCCACTGGGATCGAGACTGAAGCCATTGATCACGCGCCTGTAGGATCTAAAGTGGATCCAGACCCAAAATATGAATCCGGGACAATCAAGGTTTCAGCATTCAATTTGAGATACAATTATACAATCCTTATTCCATACCACAAAGTCCCGGAGGTGATGCTCTCAGAACAATAGTATCTGTAAGCTGTGTCCTCTTGAAATACATTGTCCCACACCAAGCTAACCATGAACGTAAATCATTTGCTCTCGTGTCCTCCAATCAGATAGGTCTAATCAGCTAGGTTCAGGCAGGTGGAACTGACAATTTCTTCGTTCCTTGCTCATGTATTCCCTCTGTCATCAAAGAATTATGCGCGCGTTCATGAATAATTCCACATTGTTCACAACACTTGTCCCTGTATCCGAAGCGATTGCCACTGCTTCCCTGCGAGATCACGCGCGAAATCGTCATCTGTGCAAGATATCACATTTGCTAATATTGCCGCTGCTTTAGCCTCTTGATCAACTTTGCTCATGGAGCCTGAGAATCACAGAGATTTAGATGTCTCCCAAAGCGAACTGAGCCTTATCCTACTAAGCGCAAGAACTGTTCCCACGGTCACTGAGGTAGACTTAGCAATGGTGACATGCTCATGTTCTATTTGCAAACGACTCAACGTAACATGGAAACACCGTTAAGCCAATGGTCAGGAAAATATTTCGAGAACCTGTCCCAATGGACTATATTTAACCCGTGAACAGGATCTCAGGTTTGCATCAGACACCAGTGGCATGAGTGAGCTCTGTCTCGGGACACGACAGAAGTGATGATCGAGCACAGGGACAATCACAACAATGTCATTTGGCCTTAAGGTTGTCTATGCACAGCAGCATCAATTTCAGAAATTAAGGTGGATACATAGGAAACCATGGTCAATAAGCGAATGAAGTCCACAACTCAATTCCCAGGATGTACAAGAGCTGAAGCTCGTGGATTGTACCCTCATCCCTAACCAAAAGCTGTTCCCGAGGTCGTTGGAACAATCACCCAAGTTATGTGTGGTGCACCACGCTTTTGATATTCAATCGTGTAAGACAAACAGGCACCTGCAAAGCGATGATCTGGCGGGAAAGTCACATCAGAACAAATTAGTCAATGATCATAACATCAGGCTGACTGGTCATGCGACCGGTCTGCGTTAAAACTTCCAAATCTCTGGGCATTGATCAATCTGGAGCTTACTCTTAGTTCCAGGAGAAGCAAGAACCGTCACGGACCAAACCAAGGCACCAACAGAGCCCACAAGCTCTTGGGTTCCAGTTTGTTGTTCACTGATGAAGGCACCTTTGATCAGGCATTGTTCAATCTAACTGTGAGGTTTGAAAAGCCACAACTCACGATTCCAGACCAGAAGACCGGTATATGTCGTTGTCGAGGCGTCTTTGAGGATGAGAAAAGACAGATCGCTCGGCAAACCGAAACAAACGATGTTCGACGCAGGTGAACCCAGGGCACGGGATCACGATTAAATGAACGCGCGGAAGGCCAATTTTATTGAAGACAATAACATAAGAAGATTTGTTTCCTTTGATTCTGAGCTCATCGATGATTGATAAACATTGAGCGTAAAGAGCATGAGCCATAACACTTGAATTATTAGTTGACATGGAATTTGAGAGATTGAAATCTAGGACAATGGACGCTCAACAATTCGTGGTTTGGAGATATTGCCTGGAGTCAAAGAGCGACCAATAGGTGCTTTATATTGGGAAAAAGGCCATCAGAGACATTACAATCCAATGCATGAAAGAAGTCAGAGGATGCTGATACAATCAATTCTGAAGTCAATACGTCGAGCCGGGTACCACATTGGGGGCCTGTACTTTCATGAGCCGCCACTGCATATTCGCGCGCGCCAATGTAGAAACGGTGAATATTAATTGGAAATTGAAAGATCGTGAATTGTGAGCGGAACCAACACGTGCCCAGGAATCATCATGAATACGCTGATTCACTTGATGGAACGTCCGCCAGGCACGGGTAACTGGACGCAAGAGTCCGAAAGAGATTGGTCTTAATCAACAGCCTGGATATATTTGGTTTCAGCGCGCAGAGGAGGATTGGCATTGAACCTCTGTGCGTTCCCGAGAGCGCGATGTCGCCGTTATATGCCACAGGACTTGCGGAGACAAAGCCAACACATTCAGTCGGATGATGTGCGCCATGGGGTTTGTGGCAAAGGCAGACACTGGAGATGCGCAGAGCATAGGGACTCCAATGGTTATTGAGGCGAGAACGATAAAAATAGGCGTCAAGGATGGAACAATGGAAACTTTGGCAGACATTGGTCTCGGATATGTAGCGCTTGCTCATCAAGTTTCACCCGCGCATAAAGACTGTCTTGGGCATGTGACATGTGACGTGAAACATATGTCTGAAAGCACAATGTATTGGCACGAATGCATTGCTTTTGGTCAATTCTTTTTTCCAGTTTCATCCATCTCAGATGCAAAATAGACCAATGGCATTGCTACACATGAAAATTAGTGTTGCGCTGGTAATGTCGCAGGGGCAAACAGTTGGTTCTGGTGTTAAGCTTGAGCTTTCTGAGCAATTCAAGCACACGATTGATATTCAAATTTATTGCGCGGACACAACCCGCGGGATCTAGGCACGCTTCTGTGCTTACAATGATGGGTCTCCCGCACGGTCATCAGACGCAAAACTTCTACTTATATTAGACCGCAATTCATTGGACACGCAATCTACACCAACTGCTCTCAAAATCATCTCTATACGGATCGGTCCTGCACCCAATCGGTAGATGCCTGTCAGGACGTTTGAAGCATTGTCAGATGTTTGTGATCCTCACGGCACAGATTTGAAGATAGCTTACCATGATGTCCACGTAATTCATCTCACCTCTAAAGTGACATCTAATTCCTTGCGCGATGCACGCTTGGACCAACTCGTGGTTGGGGATTTCAGGGCCCTTTGGCGTTATAAAAATGATGTCCTTGAGAGCTACCTTGGCTTCAGGCGCGTTGTTGCTCAGCCCAGTCAAGATCACCCCCCAGTGTTGTTTTGAATTGGCGTAGTCTGTGATTAGAATCTCGACGTTTTGAAATAGCGGGAAGTGAAGCCAGGCTACGCTCGAGAGGACAATTTTGGCAACTGTACAACGTAAAATGCGGAGGCGTGGGAAACTGTACGATATGATGTCGTAGGGGAGATGAGCCGGGATCCAATCAATGGAAAGCGCTTCGAGCGACTGGGACAGGGTGGCGACAACAGCCGCTGCTTCGTCGGCGTTTTCAGGAGGACAATATTCAAGGACCCTTATACCCTTTCCTTCAGACATACAGAAGTTGACGAGAGCGTGGATGTTTAATTGGTCAGCCGCAAAGTAAAGGTGCTTGAGATTGGGTAGCGATCCAGGAGCAACGGGCAAGCTGTGCAACGACGCAAACTGGATTGAGAGCGATTCTAACAAAGGCAATACATTGAGAACAGCAGTGATTGAGATTGAGTCATTGGGAACGCGGCGGCTTGGACTTCCGCATAGTATCAATACTTTGAGTCCCGTTAAGTTCTTCATACATTCTATCATTCCTTCTGTGAAACCTACTGAGCCCACAAAGCGAAGCTTAAGCTCAGTAATACGGTGGCGGGACATCGCTAGAATCTGTTGAACCTGTGCCATTGGAATAACCCAGCCCGCGTCAGGATACGTCGAAGGTGTAACTTGCTGACCGTGATGATGAACGGAGAATTGACTCCCGTCTGAATAGAACACCGGCGAGATGCTTAACCGGCGCAACCAAGACAGGCCATGCGTCACGAGTCCCATGTTCATACAATTAATTAGCTTGGCGGCCATGATAGGTAATCGTAAGTCAAGTTCTCTAAACATGTACGCAGTAACTTCAACGTCCCAAACTTGATTGACGCGGCGCAAATTCAAGAGGTGGAGTTTTGATACCGAACTGGGGTAGCATAAGTCAGCGCTGTTGATGGGATCTGAGTCGGTAGTAGCATAATCTTGATACAGGTGGCTTAAAATGATCTCAATCACCTCGATGGGGAGCGAATTGCTTGGAGACTCAGACATTGCGGTAGCCGGAGATGCAATTGGATGAGAATCGGGCCAAGACAGAACTAAAAGACTGTTCCACTGGCGAAGTAGTATTGAAAATGGGCTCCGATAAGCCGACTCGCTGGGTTGGGACAGGGTAAGACCTTTGGTCACAGTTATGTTCTGAAAAGAGAGTTTGCGCAACGTTGATTGGGGCAATAAGATGCGCAAGCAAATACTTTGAGGCAGAGGAAATTTCGAAGTTAAAACAAATCCCCAGGAGATTGAATATTCAAACCGTAGACGTTGCGAATGAAAAATGACATACGCGGTGTGACTTGATGAGCAGACCATGCTGGACCTCGATTATATCTTACCGGGTATGTTTCCATAGACATGAGCGGCAATCCCTTGTCCAATTTGCCTGAGGCCAAGCAATATCAACGGTCAAAAATATCCAAACTCTGATAGCGCAAAGCGTGAAAGTATCCTTTGCAATGAAGTTCGCTTGACAAATGAGAAAGCAGATAGAAAGCGAGTTTAGTGTTCACCAAGCTTTACACCAATAACAACATCACACATAGGGGAAATTGGATACCGGGGTTAAGAAAAAATCTATTGTCAGGTGATTCTTCGCGGTTGGTGTTGCGCGCAGTGGTGCGTTAGTTGTGCTTGTGCATGGACCATGTCACAAACAATCCAGCTGCAAGGAGTGATTGTGGGCGCAAGATTGATTTATAATAGCATAATTGGGGGGCCTGTCAGGAAAAAGTGGGCAAACCAACGTGGGTTAGACACTTAGTTTAAACATTTTGGTGTTTTTGATCGTCGCAAAGGAGAACGGAGAGGATATTAATTCAGACATGAACAACAGAAATAACAAACGGGGGCAAATAATAAAGCACAGTCTGTGAAACCTCACGTGAGCGGTTGACCTCATTCAGAGAGTATTGAGGCTCAGAGGAACTACTGTGGGAATTGAACGGCGGCAGGATCCGCGCATTTTTGGTTCAAAGAGTAACCAGAAAACAGAAGAGGAGAACCACACTTTAATTTCATTGGACCATAGGCTAATGGCTCGGGACATGAGCGCAGGAGAGCGACAAAGTGAATTCTAAAATGTAAAAGACATCTATTGTTAGAAGTTGAGTGGATCACTCTTGAAGGGCGGACCCATTTCAGTCTCAATGATTGTGACATCGGCTTGATGAAAGCAATAGTTCATGATTGATCCTAATAAATTGAGATTAGGACAGAATAATCAAAGCAGTTACACAGAGGTCAATCGACTCGAAGCGCAATGCTGCATCTGTAGGACTCAGAGCTCCTCAGACGACTCATTCAAAGCGAGACCTTTGGCAGCTTTTCTCTTGGGCGCGGCACGGGCTCTCTTCTTGGGAGGTTGATCGGTTGAGGCAGGGGACTTTCCTTTAGATTTTACGGCAGCGGGAGTAGAGTCAGCCGACGAAGGGGTGGTGTCAGATGGCCCCAACGGAGTGCCGGAGCTTGATCCGGCGGCAGTCAGCGGAGATTTGAAAGGGGTGTTGGGGGCGCGAGCCTTGAATCTAGGAATGCAGTATTCGATCAGCACACTACTGTTAGACATGAAACACATTATACTATATAGGAACTAACTTCTTTGCCTTTGAGCGCCCGGCAGATCCAGACGACGTGGCTGCCTGTGAAGTGTTGGTGGTAGTGACCTCCAGATGGCCAGAGGTTGGGGAGACCTTATTAACCTGGAATGTGATTCGAAGTCAGGATCATGCAACCAATGGAAACAATTGTAACTCACTTGCACAACGTATCGGGATGTGTCTTTGTTAAAATCTCTGATATAACCATGAAAGTTGCACTCCCGTCCTTTTTTCACGACTTGTGCAGAGCCCAAAAGGTGCTTAAATGGTGGAATGCGGTATTCGACCGTCATTGATTGTTTCAACTTGGTCTATTGGAGAGGAACGGCTGTTGAAACCAAGCAAACAATGCAATAAAGGCAGGAGCGAATCACAAACCTCTGGATGGAAATCGCAGTGCTCTACTATCGCATGAACGCTTTTGAGGTCGGGATCAGTTGCTTTGCCCTTGAGGTATTGCCAGCACTCTTCAACTTTGAAGTCAACGTCAAGGACTCGACCCAGGCCCGTGAGACCAATCATACCCTCAACGTTCGCGGTGAAAGCCTCCGCGTCACCAAGGAGCATACGCTCAATCCCCTCGTAGAAGAACTCGTCGTTAAAGGTGTCTTCGGTGTTAGTAGGAAAGAAAGATCCCCGCAGAAAATAAACCTTGCTTTCCTCGAGCATGAGGAGCTTGCTGCTAAATCCAGTAGCACGGATTTCATAAGAAATCTGTTGCTTGCGGCCAAGACCACCACAGTAAATTGAGGCCGAATAGGATCGGAACTCGACCTTGTAGTTTTGTTCTTGGGTCAACTGAACCGGGAACACTGGGAATCAATCACGCAGAAGACATGTAATATAGGTTAAACAGACTAAAATGACGCTCACTTTCTCTTCGATTTCGAATACACCTGAGAGGTAAAGACCGTGACCGGTGCATGGTTCAGACATTGGTGGCGACTAATGAGCAGCCTGCTCAGAGATGGACTATTGGAGTAAATGTGAAGCCGATTATTCAGCAACGTAAACTGGGGATTAGCCTAATGGACTGGGTATTAGAGAATAATAAGCTGGATGAACAAACGAGCGATTGGGTGATGGAAACAATGCCTTTGATCCAAGACTAATGAGGAACAACTGCAGGAATTACTTTGATGAGAGGATGTGACTTTATACAATTTCTAGACTTAGTTGGCGGGTTTGAATCTGGAGTGAAGAGTAGTTTTCAACGCTTAGGTTGGAGAGAGCAAGCCCAGGAACTTAGATTGAGTGAAAATCCTCTCTAGTCGGAAAAGGAATTTATCGGGCAGATTTTGGAGGTCAAGAGTTTGATACAAATCCGGAAGGCGGCAATGGTCGATGTAGTGAATCGTGCGGAGAAATCGACCACAGTGCCCAAGGAAAGATTTGCAGGCTTTCAGGGCGGTCAAGGGATGGAATGCGCAGACGCTGACTGACGTGGACAGTGCTGGGTTGTAATTTAGGTGAAATCCGACTTCCGATAAGGATCATCTGCGCAGCCATAGTCTCTAGGCTAATTGATTGAATTGATGGTCAAGATTGGGACAATCAAGGAGGGGGGAGCTGAGGAGACTTTGAAAACGGACGGCGAAATTTTGACCTCGGGTGACGCGCTTGATACGGTTGAAATACAAAGCAAGAATTGATCACTGGGCGCAACCTGATACGGTGAATTCGGGACTATCAGAGAGATAAATCTGAGCAGTGATATCAAATGACATTGTAGATATCTGGAATGGCGTGAATCTGACCGATTCTGGGCGATTTGATATACCGGGATGCATGAAGAGACATGCCCAAACTTTGACATCAATTGACGTGCTTGCCACAGTTGAGATACGATGCAAGAATTGATGGTCGGGTGCAAACTGATACGGTGAATTGGGGACTTTTCGAGAGAGATATAAGCGCAGTGATATCCGATGACACGCCAGGCAGATAAAATGGTCACAATATAAGCAATCATTGGTAATATGGTATATACTGTGATACAATGGGATGGAGACTTGAGAAGACGTAACTCTACATCATTTGATCCAATCGTTGGTCAAGACTGGGTGAAATGATGAGCAGTGAAAGTTGCTGAAGAGACCTTGAAAAGGTACGGGTAAATCTTGATAAACGTTCACGTGCTTGACACGGTTGAAATACGAAGCGAGGATTGATGGTTTGTGAAAAGCGGTATGGTCGATTCAATACTTTCGGAAAGCCATGTCGGTACATAAAAAGCAGATGACATGCTAGATAGGTAAAAGCGCCCCGATGTCAGCAATCATTGATAGGCGGATATACTGCAATACAACGATGTGGAGATTTGGGAAGAGATCACTGCCCATTGAAACAAAGTCACATGCTTGGTCGGGAGGGTGAAAATGTTGAGCGAGGATATTGGGAAAATTGTGATATTGATCCAATGACGACGAGACTTGCGGGATTGGGAACTGAGAGTTGAGACCAAGTGAAATCTTTGAGAGCAAAGCAGCGGTTGAGATTGAAATGCACGTTTGAGCGGCAAGGAATGTGGAGGGAGCTGATAGATGATGGTATATCACGGAAACGATTCCAAGTTCTTGAGCATTGTGGATACTTGGTGTCGCGAGAGTATAGGAGCAACGTCGATGAAACTGCGGAAGTTAGTGGTTAACGTGTGGCCAAGATTTTAAAAATGATAGGTTAAATCAAGATTCGTCTGGAAATACAATCTCAATGGCCCTTTGAGTTGGGTTTACTTGTATATTGAGTTTTCCAAAGCAATCTCGCTGGGGTCAGCGAAGTTGACACCGGTTCATTCTCAAGCCTATTCCCAAGGAAAGGCCTCATTGTGACCACGGCGAGTTCAAGACAGACACTTCGATGTTTGATATTTGTCATCTCTCAACATCGGCTCATGTGCTATCCTGCTAAGGGGATCAAATCTCGATGTGTTTCAAAAAGACATTCTTGATGGGCAGGAAGTGGACAAGTAATAATGGATTCTGTACACAAAAGAGATTGACTAAACGCCCCCCGCGCCTGTATAACATCTGTGTCTTGCCCTGGCGCGTTCACCCCGTTGACTTTGGTGGCATCCTCGGGTCGGCCTACGTATAAGGATTCCGCCTATGCACCAGTTAAAGCCGAAAAATTGTAATGTGTAAGTTAACCAGGCAACAACAATGAGCTTCAGGCGGAGGGTAGCACGATGTTCCACATATGGGTCTGCTTGTTGAACCTGCAGAGTTGACCCGCGGTTTTGACTACTCTCCAAATTAACAACTCGTGTCGATGACCTTCCTGGACGATGCGCCAGTTGCACGAACACTCAAGCTCAAAACGGCGCAGACCAGGGTCCTGTATTGAAAATGTTCAGTCGTCATCACGATTGGTGGATTGCTCGCGTGTACTCACCAAGGTGCTATAGTCAGTATGACGGACAACCACCTCAGTCAGTCTCATTGAGTATTGTTCGGCCGATCCTTCAAGGCAACAATGCCCCGTATGCGGGAGCCTAAAACTCGTTTAGGCTTTTGGTGATCCGAAATGAAGGAATCATCTACTTCGCCCCGGGAGTGGAAATGGTAGCACAAAATTGGCTGAGGGTAATCACCTAGGGGTAAAAAGAGGCCTGAAAGATTGAACCACCGTTTCTCTTCAATGAAACAGGGAACTTATCGGTCAGGAATAAGTGTTAAGGCGATTGGTAAATTGTATCCATATTTGGGGTTGTTTTGATGCTTGTTGCCGGTCCGGCAAAAGACTCAAACGGTTTGGCCTGAAGCGTGGTGACTGAAGCGAACGGGGGTAAGATTCCTATCTAAGAATAGGATTAGTCCGAACAACGACACTTACTATCTTGTGCACGTTGAAGAGAGAATTGATGACGACAGGCCGATACACTGGGTTAGCCATATTGTTAGACTTGCAGTGAGTTCCTTGCCAAAACGTTGAGGCAAGTGATAATTCCAAAACCGGAGGCGAACACTGTTGGACCTGGTGAATTAGGAGAAGGGACAGAGCGCAGTGCGCAAGGAGTAATGTTAATCTTTCATAGGAACCGAAGGGACATGATGGAAAAATACTGACAAATGCGAAGGACGCTTGGTAGTAATTGAGGTTGAAGGCGGCTAGGAGTGAAGAATCATGTGCGCCTTTGAACTCGGTAGGCCGTTCAGTCAAATGAGAATTGGGAATGAGCGGCAACGCCAGGCGTTGAGTTTAAAGTCGAAGGAGCGTTGGAAGGAGACGCGTAAGCTTCAAGAGTTAATCGAATGGTTGAGACCGTTGCAATATAGAGCAAACGTTGATAGCCGTGCGTAGGAGGCTATGGTGGAATGGAGACTTTCTCTGGGAGATGTGATTCAGCATTAGGATCGAATGACATGCTGCGTAGCTGAAAGGGTGAAGATTTGTCGCAAAGATTCAAATTCGGATGAACTGTGATACGGTGTGAACGGGACTTGCCATGGGCGTGGCTGGGCGTTGGAATTGGATGACTTGCTAGTGGCGTGAGATTGTTATTTTGAAAAAAAGAGAAACTTGATAATTTTTTTAAACACATAGACATGTATATCTAGTGATAGTATAATAGAAAACAAAAAGAACAAGAATGTTTTTCAAAAAAACACTACAACTTCACTTCTTTTTTTCTGAACTATCTTTTTTTTTTACCGTCACCGTCACTTTCTTTTTTTTAACCGTGCTATCAATAAAACCCTGAAAAGCCTTCATGGGTTCTTCAAAGTCTCCACCTGGGACTATCCCTTCCTTCAACCAGGCCTGGGAACCCACAAGACGCTCCATGGTCTTATGGTGCATTCCTCCACGTAACGGGGTACAAATGTCGGCCGCGGCGGAAAACGTACGCTCACATGCGCATGATGTGGCTGACACAGACAAGTAGTCACGAGCAATTTGAGAAAGGATCGGAAATTGAGATTCATGTTCCTGTGATAGAGAAGGTGTTAGCAAACATCTGTATATATTATATACTACATGAAAGATAAAAAGATAAAGAATAAAAAATAAAAAGATAAACTCACCCTCCACCAATCAAGAGGGGTTTGGTCCTTGTTGATAGGGTACTTTCCTTTCAGGTAGTCCTCAAGTTCGGAGTTGAAAACTTTGTCAGTCGTGGTGTTTGAAGCTGCAAAAATATCAAAAGTGTCGGGTTCCTCAGCAGAGTCCTTGGCCTGATCAGGTGATGGTGATCGCTCTCGATTTTGATCTTCCTCCAAGACCGTATTGAAGGCCATCTCAATAGCAGAATTGGCTGTGAAATCGTATTCAGGATAGTGGATGGTGAAAAACTTGACACGGAATCGGGGATTAAGGACAGTAGCGAGAATGATACTATCGCAGTTGAGTGACTCTTCTTGATACTTTCCAAGCCACTTGACCATCTTGTCAATTGCTGTCACTAGGCTGGGAAAGTCTCTTGCATCGGGTCGAAGGGTTGTGAGCTCTTTGATGACCCGTTTATATTCGGCCAGGATGATGCACCCAGTTGGGCCATTACCTTCGACTCGGGCCGTGGCGTCGACAAAGGTCTAAGTGATAGAAATATCTATCAATACCAGGAGAGCAATGAGAGAGAGAGAAACAAATGTACCTTTAAAACGCGGTTGACTAATTCAACCGCGTGCCATTCAGCTGGCGAGATAGTGACCCCTTTGAAAAACTGGGCCTTGCGATCCGCAGAAAGCATGGAGTTGATGACCTGTAATCATAGACAACAATCAGAAACACTTGATCATCCCTATCAAACAGATATGAAATGATTCCTACCTCCTGGGCCTCGCAAGCCACCTTTTGGCTCTCGTAGTGACTGTTCCAGCGTGTTTTGCAAGGTCGCTTGAGCATGCGACCTTGATAACCCATCCGAGTCGCACAAGACTTGAAGTCGCATCGCCTGGCTGCACTGCTGGCAATCTGGCCACTGACAGCGTCAATCT